AAAAAAAATTGGAAGCAATAACAAGCCAGTGACGTAAAAAGAGCACGTGTTATGACTCTATAATCAGTGTTAACAAAAAGGGGACACTTAACAGGGGAGAGGTTATTGAAAATGCAAGGCTGCTATGCTACAGAGCAATTTTTATGTGCCAGTTTTGAAATCGCTTCTGTGATTCACAATAATAAACATGCATTCTCGAGGAAGATTTGGCAAATCTATCAAAAAAAAAAAAAATCCACGAAAAACGCTAACTCTCCTGCTGCGTCCAAAACCAGCTTCGAGTTGTCGTTAAATATAATCCCAATGGACTTATCACAAAGCTGATAACCCAAGCCATATTTGTCTGAGTAGTCAACCCATTTCGAGATCCAAAATACTGGCGTTGCAGCCGGATCCTCCAGATCATCTAAAGAAGAAATTATCGGCATTGCCAACAGGAAAGTGTCCTAATACAACGGTATTTATCCTTTCTCGTACATTTCAATGTGAATAACAGAAATCAAACGTTCAAAGAAATGTCTCAAGTGATTTTCGCCCCATACCTCACAACTACTAGCGTCATCAAAAGAAGCAAAGAGCGATTCAGAATCTCTTTGGATCTTATTTCTCAGTTCTCACAAACCTCACTATTTCAGGCATACCGACCGGATTACGGATAACTTACTTGCAAGGTCAACCCTAACCGACCCATCCCAATGAAGACCACGTGTCGCAGATATCCGCCGGCAAGACTTAGGAACTGTCCACCGTCTCCTATTAAAGGAACTGCCCACTGTCCACTGCTAAACGCTACAGTTGCTGAGTGAAGTACAAGGGCCAGCAGTGCAGTGAATAATACGTCATGATTTGAAGGATCTGGAGATTGTTAAATTGAGAGGTTGAATTTCTTTCCGGTCCATTTGCAAAACAGGGCTCCACCGTAGCAAAACATGTCATTTCATTGGCACAGTTGATTGTAAATGGAACACCCGCGTAGAAGCAAATCGAAGCAAATAAGATGACAATATTTTTTGAATTTACAAGAATGATCTAGCAAAGCTGCATGCAAAATTTGAATCCAAAAATGAATTACTGTACCTTCGCGAACATCTAGATTTTCCTTTGGACCGTTATTCACCACTTCAGTGAGCTGTCTGT